ATTTAGACTGAAAGGAAAAATATAAAATTTTATAAGATGGTGATTTTATAAGATGGTGGTGAGACCTGCAATGCTCTATGACACAAAATGTTGGCTTTTAAAAAAGAAGCATAAAACAAAGTTAAAGTGTCGTTGAGATGAGAATGCTTAGGTGGATGAGTGGCATGACACTTGGAGAGAAAATGAGAAACAGACATTTTCATGGTAGGGTTGTTGTAGTTCCAGTGGCAGACAAGATTAGAGAACGTCTTCTTAAGTGGTTTGGTCACATTAAACATCTACCATCTGGCGATCCTGTGAGGAGAGTAGATGTTACGTTAAGAAAGGCACGGGTAGGCCTAAAAGGACTTGGGCATATTGTATAAAAAATGATCTTATTCTATTAGAATTAAATGAAAATATTACACTCAATAGAGCGCAATGGAGAAACATGATTCATGTAGCCGACCCCACTTGGTGAGATAAAGTCTTGTTGTTGTTGTTGTTGTTGTTGTTGTTGTTTGATTGGTTGACATTGTTCTCTCTATTGATATCTCACTAGAGTCTTCCTTTCCAAACACAGGGTCGCCTTTTTTTCCCCACCGTTAGCCCGCTAACAACAAGTTATCTTTACACGATAAACCGAACCATAAACATCATCTCATACAAAGATCGACATCTTCAGTTATGCGTGAACCTCCTCTCCAATTTCCTTGGCTGAAGGTCGTTCCACCCATGAAGCAGTGTTTGGGTTCTCTTCCTCGGTTCATATTGATTTCCCTTCTTTTATAATTTAGCTCAACCCATAATCAACTTTTTCGTCCCCATAGGCTTTTGAATCAACTTTCGCTCAGAAGGTTGTTGCGGTTGCCGCAACAAAAGGAATTAGCGCATCTGGTACTTACCTTGGTTTTTGTTCGAGACTGAAATCCTTCAAATTGATCTTCTCTAGCCCCGAAGAATCACATGCGACTTTCCCATTCATCCCACTGTTGCTTGCTCTAGCCCGCCTAATGTTGCTCAATCCATTCCGCCCGATGCCACTCCAACCCACTCAATCCGCTGTTGTTGGATCCCCTTATACAAGATCCACCACAGCCAACCCCCGCCCCCCAAATTCGCATCGTATTTCTCTATGCACAGACTTCATTTAAATGAGCAAATTTTGTATAATTGAACAATTTTATTTTATTTACCACTGTTGGCATGTAAGATTGAGTTCTATGCATTTTTATATGTTAAATTTCTAGGGAAAATTACGTACATACCCCCACAATTCCTTTTTATTTACATTCTAACATCTAAAATTTTCTTTCTTACATCTATACCACCAGTATCCTTCATGTCACATAAAAGTACCATCATTTTAATACCCAATTCCTATAATTTTACTTATCTAACCTCTAAATCTCCTTTTTTTTACATTTATACCACTCAAATCCTACATGTTACATAAAAAAATGTCATCATTTTAACTTTTAAAAAGTGAAAGCAACCTTTTCTTACAATGCTGAGGTGGGCTTGTAAGTTCAGGTGTTGGATATGTAAATCCTTTAGGAACTGAGTGGTAACTTCATACTATATTTAATCATAATTAAAAGTTTTTTATTTTATTTTTAAACTTTTTTTTATGATGCTTCAAAACTCAGTTTTCAACTGATGTGTATATCTTTTTTGGAAACCTTTAGCAACCTTAGTAGCCATTGGGGCATTTACATGCATGCCTCCCAATTCTTATGTATTTACATATCTACCTACCTAAACTTTGTTTATAACATTTATACCCCCAAATCTTTCATATTAAACAAAAAAATATCACTATTTTTAGCTTTAAAAATGAAATTCACCTTTTCATGCATAGGTAAGGTTGCATATTTATATATGTAAAATTGAAGCTTAGGCGTGCCATTGGTAAGTACGTATAACTTGACTATTTTTGTAAATATTCCTTTATTTTTATTCACATATTGAGGCAAGCATTTCATTTTTTTTCCCCTTAAAACCATTTTAGGAGCCGCCCCTCATAACACAACAGCGGCTTTTTCGTATGATGGAAAGGCGCCAGATTTGATGATTGGGAGTTCCAGATATGTTGGAGAGGCCGTCTCATCCGCTCGACCCGACGAACAAGGAAAGTTGAGAAGCAATTCCACGCAGGCGAACGAAGCAACGAATAAGCCGGCAACCGAAGCTCTTCTGCGCGAAGCGCCGTTTATTAGGCCGGGAATTGCTCCGAATTTAAGATTTGGAGGCTCTGGCTCATACCCAGACCTTCCTTGGGTTACAACCACTGGTCCGGGGCCAAATGGTAAAACCGTATCTGGTGTCACTTACAAATATAATCAAAATCAAATAAAAATTGTCTGTGCTTGCCATGGGACCCACATGTCCCCAGAGGAATTTGTTCAACATGCAAGTTCTGAGGGTCCGAATTCAGAAAATAACCCAAATTTGGCTTCATTTAACACTGCTAATACCCCAAACCCTGCTCAGAGCTAAACTGTAATTAGTTGCTGCAAAAAAAGTAGGTACATTTTGCAATCTATGTCTTTTGGGCCCCCCTTCTGGGGCATTTACATACATACCACGCAATTCCTATGTATTTACATGACTAGTGGCTAAACTTTGATTTTTGTATTTGAGAAAACTATCAAAATAATCCCCTAGCTCTTTGTAGGGGGTTCATTTTGGTCTGAGAAGTTTGTAAAGTGTCAATTTAGTCTCCGAACTTCTTTAATATTGGCTGAAATAATCTTCACGGAGGATTATTTTAGCCAAAATTTAAAGAGTATGAGAACTAAATTGACACTTTTATATAAACTCTGGGACTAAAATGGCTCAATAGCATATTATTTTGGCATTTCCCTTCTTTACATTTATGACATTCGAATCTTTCATATCACATAAAAACACCACTATTACTAAACTTGGGCTGTGTTTGGAAGCCTATTAATAGGCGGATTTAACAACAACGGGTTTAGCTTAAATCCAGCCAAATTCTGAAAAACTGAATCTTAAATCCAACACTTTGTTAAACCGTTTTTTCTTGTTTTTTTGCCTCATTTTCCCAGCGTTTCGTCTTCTTTGTCACGTAAATCCGAGTCACAGGCGGGTTTACGACCGGTGGCTTCTAAGCTTCCTTCCTTCAAAATGGATTTTGATAAATCCAGATTTACTAAATCCTATTTAACGTAAATCCCTGATGCCGCCAAACACCGCCTTATAAAACGTGAAGCGCATCTTACAAACATAATTAAAGTGGTATAAATATAAATATCAAATCTTAGGTGCTAGACATGTAAATACGTATGAATTTCCAGGTATGTATGTAAATCTTTCCTTTTTTTTCATGTTAAAAGTCCAACGCTAACTAACCCTTCGTGTGATTTTTCTACAGCTAAAAAGTTGAATGCTGAAGATGGATTCTGAAGTAAAAGATGAAGCATTCTGTCTGCAGGTTTCTTATTCTTAAAGACCTTTACACTATTATTATTACCATATTGTTATAAATCTCTATTTATGGTCTAGAGAAGTATTGCTTACATTTGGCTTTTGTTTCATGAACTTTATTTTACATATCTACCGCTTTTTGTTGTTTTTGGAGTAAATATGATAAAAGATTGTTGGATATGTAAAACCAATTATTGCTGTCCATATTTATGTGCTTCTTTCAATTGCCCGATGCTCGAATTCCGCTGCTAGAATCCGATAATTCCCGCATTTACATACATTCCGCACAATTTTTATGTATTTACATGTCTGATACCAAAACTTTTATATTTACATCCATACATAACACTCAAAAATTTTAATATCATGTCAAAAATATCACTATTACGAACTTTTTAGAAGTGAAATGTAACTTTTCATTTACTGAAAAACTGAATCTTAAATCCAACACTCTGTTAAACCGTTTTTTCTCATTTTTTTTCCTCATTTTCCTAGCTTTTCGTCTTCTTCGTCACGTAAATCCGGATTTATTAAATCCGAGTCACAGGCGGGTTTACGACCGGTGGCTTCTAAGCTTCCTTCCTTCAAAATCCATTTTGATAAATCCAGATTTACTAAATCCTATTTAACGTAAATCCCTGATGCCGCCAAACACCGCCTTATAAAACGTGAAGCGCATCTTACAAACATAATTAAAGTGGTATAAATATAAATATCAAATCTTAGGTGCTAGACATGTAAATACGTATGAATTTTCAGGTATGTATGTAAATCTTTCTGTTTTTTTTTCATGTTAGAATCCAACGCTTATTAACCCTTCGTGTGATTTTTCTACAGCTAAAAAGTTGAATGCTGAAGATGGATTCTGAAGTAAAAGATGAAGCATTCTGTCTGCAGGTTTCTTATTCTTAAAGACCTTTACACTATTATTATTACCATATTGTTATAAATCTCTATTTATGGTCTAGAGAAGTATTGCTTACATTTGGCTTTTGTTTCATGAACTTTATTTTACATATCTACCGCTTTTTGTTGTTTTTGGAGTAAATATGATAAAAGATTGTTGGATATGTAAAACCAATTATTGCTGTCCATATTTATGTGCTTCTTTCAATTGCCCGATGCTCGAATTCCGCTGCTAGAATCCGATAATTCCCGCATTTACATACATTCCGCACAATTTTTATGTATTTACATGTCTGATACCTAAACTTTTATATTTACATCCATATATAACACTCAAAAGTTTTAATATCATGTCAAAAATATCACTATCACGAACTTTTTAGAAGTGAAATGTAACTTTTCATTTATGGTAAGTGGAGTTGACTATATGAATCATTTTTCTCCATTGTGTCCTATTGAGTGTCATATTTCATTTAGTTTTTAATAAATTAAGATCAATTTTTATACAATATGCTCAAGTCTTTTTTAGGTCTTTCTCTGTCTTTTTTGACATTAGGTCTTCCTCTGTCTTTTTTGACATAAGCTGAATCTAAAGCATCTATTCTCATAACCGGATTATCAGATGGTCGATTTTTAATGTGACAAAACCATCTGAGACGATTCTCTCTAATATTGTCTGTCGTTGGAGTTACACCAACCCTTTCATAGATATATTCGTTTCACATTTTGGCTTTGTGTCGAGCCAATCATTCACCATAACATGTTTTATCTTAGCGAGAGTCAATTTAGTTTTATGCTTCTCCTTTAAAGGCAACATTATGCATCATAAAGTATTGCAGGCCTCCCCACCAGCTTATAAAGTTTTTCCTTAAAACTAAACCCTAATGATACTGATCTGAATACTTTACTAACATAAATACCTCCTTGTTCCTTTGTAATTACACATCTAACAACTAAACTTTATTTTTTATGTTTTTTCTTACATATATCATGCTTAGATAAGATGGTATGTTATGGAAAAATGAAGTTTAGGGGTAAGTTATCTAAATACATGGTAATATAGTGGTGGCAAGTACGTAAACCTTTTAAATTTTTGTTTACATGATATAAACATGATAATTTATGTGTATATAAAAAATATATAAAAAATTGTGTGGTATTTTTTTACTTTTAAAAAGATTAATAGTGATAAATTTTATGTTATGCTAAATTTTTGGATGTTATGGATATAAATATGATAATTTATGTGTTATAAAATGCAAATTTATAAGAATTGATGTGGTATGAATGTAAACAGGGGTGTGAATTTAGCTTGAAGGTCTTTAGTTGCCTGAAAATCGATTCAATTTTTTGCTTGGATTGAGATTAGATTGAAATAAATGAAGGAGCAATGAGTCAAAATTTAGGAACAAGTTTTTTTTTTTTTCAAGTCAATTTTAAGCCATCAATGAATCAATTTGAACCGGTTCGAGATCGACTCAAATATTTTTTATTTATAAAAATTATATATGTAAAGCTAGATAAAATTGAATATAACGTGTCACGAGTCATTTTTTAGCCGGTTTCTAGCTGAAATGGATCCAAATAACTCAATCTAGTTATAATTTTGAGCCGAGCATCCAAGTTAAAATGAATCCAAATAACTCCGTTTGAACCAGCTCATTTCGATTTTGAGCTAGATCGAGCTCGATTCAATTCAGAGCAAACACCTTTAAATCAAATATAACAAGCCACAAATTAATTTTGAGTCACACTAATGACCAATTTGGCATAGTTTATTTCCTGTGGTGCGGTGAGAAAACATCGTATTAGGTGTTCGGTTTGAACGGTGCGGTGAAAATTTCCAAAAAGCTCCCTTAAACACGAGCTACAGGCTTGACTTCATTGTCTGCCTTTTTTAGCATCCCTATTACTTGATTGCCCGCTTAATTTTGGTCCACAGTTCACTTCTGCTCTCACGTCTTTACCCCGCTCCTCTTTCCTCCTATAACGCTGCCCTAGGTATTTTCTCTTTTCATTCTCTCGACACTAATGGTGCAAGATTGCTTACGTTTGGTTCTTTACTCCTAGTTGTCCTCCTCTATCTTCTATCATTTCTCTTCGTTCTCCCTCTTCACATGATATCTTCTACCCCACATTAAATATCATGATAATATTAAATATTATTTTAATAATTTAATTTTTTTACTTTTCCTTTTTGTGCTACTCACTCTTTAGTGATATATCAATTTTTAGTTATAATATTGAACTTGCTAGTTTTTTAGATGTTGAATCTAATTCCTATTTTCATGTAACTTGAATTTAGAGATGAATCTAATTCCTATTTTCATGTAACTTGAATTTATTTTATAATAGACAAAATAAATAGACACAATTTATTAGTGACAATTTTTTCTAATATAATTGCTGCGCAATAAATTATTAAAAATTATAGTAACTGTAACAAACAAGCCCTAAAATCCCTAAATATATTGGAGCTGATTTTGAGCGACCCAACACACCTGAGCAATCGTTAAATGTAAATATCCTCGCGCGGATTGCTAAACCACGCCGGTGACCGGTTCCCGTGCGCGGTAAGTATGAGCAAGCCCGTCGCCGGAGCCGGACCGACGGCGGGGGGCCCCCGCGCAGAAGCAGAAATCCCTTCTCCAAAGACTCGACACCGACATCGGCAACATAGTCGAAAACTTCAGTCTCCTCGTGAACGTCGCTAGGGTTCATTCTCCCCTCCTCCTTCCAATTCCCTCCATCTAATTCCAAGTTAGGGTTTCATCATGTCACCTCTGCGATCTCCTACAGGTGAACGATCTTCTCGTCCGCAACGCGCAGGAGGCTTTCCAGATGGAGATGCGAGCTGCCAGAATGGTATTCACTCCATCTCATCTCCATCTAATCCTCTTAGACCAATTTGATTTGAATTGATGGATATGCGAGCAGGTTCAGGCGGCCGATTCGCTTCTGAAGTTGGTGTCGGAGCTGAAGCAGACGGCGATCTTCTCCGGGTTTGAGTGTCTGAACGAGAACGTGGAGCAACGCATCTGCGTGTTTAATCAGCTGGAGGAGAGCACGGATAGGTTGGTGGAGAGGATTGGGGAGCAGGGGGCCGTTAGTCTCAGGGAACTGGAGACCCATTATTACTCTTCCATTCAGAGGGGTTAGGGTTTGAAGTAATCTGGACAATTTCTATTTTTACATGAAGTGTTTAATCCTATTACATATCTAACATCTATAGTTTCATGGTTACACATAACTCTTTGGTGTCATAAACCTATATATGATATGCAATTCTATCTTTTATTTCATACCATTACTAATCCTGATATCCATCTTACCAGAACTAGAGTTTGATTTATAAGATGAACAATTTTGGCATGCGCATTTAGGTCTAGAGTTGTTGCCATCAAGGCTCCGGGGTATATAGCTTAAATGTCGCATGTGAATTACTCTTAACAAAGCCATTTTGATTTTGTCATTTTTTCTTTGTAGCATTCAAATCTTATACAGCTATGCAATTAGAAGACTTCTCTTTGCGGGATTTGTTCTCTCTTTCAATGGTTATGCCAAGCATGTGATTTTCATCAATGTCTATCAATAGGAAGATTAGGGCAATCCCCATGAATAGATAGAGATGTCATTGTTTGGCCGAAACATGGCTTCTAACTTCTAAATCAATTTTAAATATATCAACCTAAGTCTCAATGCGATTTATGATAAAACTCTCGCTTTATGTCAAGCTAATGATGGGACTTGTTACCTTTATCATCATGATCCTCCAACAATAATTGATATATTTCTTTTCTCTTCATCTTCTTCCTCCCTATTTCTAAATCTAGCCTAGGATAAAATTCCATCAATAAACATTGCCAAATCATCCTCCAAACCCTAAATTTATCCAACCACATCTACATCCTTCCACTAACAAACTTCACATATCTGTTCAAGCTACTTGTACATAATGTTTCAAGCTACTTAAATTATTAAAAAAATTGCAAATCTCAACCTTGAGGTCCGATGCAAAATCAATTTTAACATCTCAATAATGAACTAAAATGCCAAAGAAATCCCTATTGTTCATCAAACTTGGAAGGACGGGAGAATTTAATTGAATGGCTTAAAAGGACTTGCACAAGTCAATCCAATTAAAGATATACGCGACCGCAGAGCGCATGAACATGCTCATCTATGATCCATTGAGCAAAAATGACAAAAATTGTATAAATAATACACAATTCCTAGGTAAGCTGAAGGGGTTGTGTGAGAAATTAAATAGGAGAATGGAAGGTAAGTTTTGTCAGCACCTTTGTAGCATATTTGGGCATTTACATGCATACCACTCAATTCGTTTATATTTACATCTCTAAATACAGGAATAAACATTACTTTTTTACGTTTACACCACTAAAGTCATTCATATAACATAAGAACACCACAATATTAACATCTAAAAAAGTATAATGTACTCTTTTTCATATATGTAAAAATTGAAGTTTAGATGTTAGACATGTAAATATATAAGAATTGAATGGTATGTGTGTAAATATTCCTTGTCACCCCCATAAACCTGAAGGATATTTGCGTACGTCTTTGTAACCGCAGAGCTGCGTACGTCTGTAACTTGAAAATAGGTTACAGGGAGGATATTTGGAGGTTATAACTGCGTTATAGCCCATGTAACCTCTTTGTAACCTACCTGTACCTTCTAGTAAGTTTCACGCTTCTGTTTTCATATATAGGTAAGTTACAGGGAGGTCACATGGGCTATAACGCGGTTATAACCTCCAAATATCTTCCATGTAACCTATTTGCAGGTTACAGACGTATGCAGCTTTGCGTACGTCTTATGTACGCAAATTTTTTCCCATAAACCCTACCTAATTAAAAAAAAAAAAAAAACAGATTCTTCATGATAATTAAAAAAAAAAAAAAACTGATTCTTCATGAAACAACAAAAATCTCAGCAATGAGAAAGTTCGGAACAGAACATAAATATCATATATGATATATAGAAAAAAAAAACTAGACAACAACGTGGCCATTCAACTCACTTGCCTTTAGATCAAATAAACAGTAGCTGTCTGGCTTCATGTGAACAAAACAAGCTTTAGAACTTTAAACATTTGATTTTGATGAATATATATGTTTTTTCTTGCAGTGATATTGTTGGTTTGTACCTTCTAGCAGCAATAGGGAGATTCTGTTTCTTCAGGCCGGCTTTTGTATGGATCTTGGAGCTACAAGGAGGCAGCGTTACAGGTTTTAATTAGAAGAACAAAAATTAAATTATATAAAAATACTCGGAATTTGCAAACTCTTAAATTTAGATTACAATTATTTCGACAAAACAACTAAAGAAATGGAGCACAGTTTTTGCCTTTCAATTTGTAGCAGGTAGGAGGGCTATTTATTTAATAAGAAGGGGCTCAGATTTTATGTTACGCACTAAAGAAATGGAGCCAATTAAATATACAAAATTATCTAAAATAATTTGTATTGGCATTATTTTTTTCATCATCCTTTTATATATTAAGATCATAATAATGATATTTTTCTTGTGAGAAAACAAAGCCTAAATATTCATGATGTTACTTCTCATTGAATTTTTAAGGATTATTTTAAAATGATACATTTTTTTAAATTTAATGATTTAATGGGAATTATACTAGGGTTGTAAATAAGCCGATTTGGCTCACAAGCCAGCTCTAGCTCCCAAGCTGGCTCATTAATGAGTTCACGATCCGAACTTATCAAGCCACGAGCTCGAGCTCGAGCTCAAACTTCAATTTATTTATTAAATGGGAAGGTGAGCTCCCGTTAAAATTGAATTTTTAGTTCGAGCTCGTGAGTTGACTACCACCACTATGAGCCGAGCTCGAGCTCACAATGAAGTACCGTCAAATTCCTATGTAATTACATATTTAACACAAACTTTACTTCTTACATTAATAAAATCCAAATGTTTCTTAACCCTTAAAAAGTGAATGCACCTTTTCTCATACAAAGGTAAGATGGCATGTATGCAAAGATTGAAATGTAAGTGTTAGCATTTAAATACATAGAATTTGAGTGGTATATATATGTAAATCTTCCAAAACTTAATTTTGTGGTCATGCCCTCATCTCAATAAAAAAAGTCTTAACATCCTATTTTGAAATTTCAAATCTATAGTTCAACTATGTGACCTATTAGCCGTGAATGATAGCCCAAATAAAAAAAACAATTAAACAAAGTGTCAAAGAGCAAGTTTAGGTGTTAGTTAAGTGAATACATAGGAATTAGGTGGATTGCTATGTAAATGGCACTAAAATAAATAATTGAGAAATTTTCAAAAAGGGTCAAATACAAACCAACGTTAGCTCAGTTTGGCAGTTCATACTCAACGAAAACCAATTGCATCTGAACCTTTCATAATCCTTATTCTCCTACAGGAATCCCTAAACATTCTGCATTGTAAAACAATTGTATAATTATTCAAAAAAAGTGAATAATTATGTTAAAAAAATGACGGAAAAAAACCAGGGCAAAACAGTAATAGGATCCCCATTCAATGTTGTTTTTTTCATGTTTTAGTAGATTGTCAAAGCTTATTTCCTTATCCTCCTACATGAATCCCTGAACATTCTGCAAGGTAAAAAACAATCGGATAGTTTTGCAAAAAGAGTAAATAATTGTGTTAAAAAATGATGGCAAAATCACAGAAAAACAGCAATAATGTCCCCATACAATGTTGTTTATTTCATGTTTTTGTAGATTTTCAAAGCTTATTATAAAATAAATATTACTTTTTTGAATTTGGTAATCGTAATATAAAGTTTAACACATTTCAGGATATTTTGTTGAACATGTAAAATTACTATATGGGAAAAAATTACTTTTGATGAAAAAAATTATTTTCAATAAAAATGTTCTTGTTTTAAATGTTGGGGCATCTACATGCATACCACACAATTCCTATGTATTTACATATCCAAAATCTGAGCATTGTTTTTTCACATTTATACCACCCAAATCTTTCATTCACATCAAAAGTACCATTATTTATAGAGTGAAATACAAATTTTCATGAATGGGAAGGGTGGCATACATGTAAAAATCGTGCTTTTGAGTGTTAGATATGTAAATACATAAGAATTGAGGTTTATGTATGTAAATCTTCCCTAATTTTTTTAGGCACAAAATATTTTCAGGTTTGGATAAAAACAAATAAATAGATTGTATGTAAAACATTATATTAAAATTCTTCGTGTAGAATTTATGTATTAAATTTTTGTTGGTGGTAATAAAGCTCAAGGATAGGACAGTCGAGGCCAAATTGACTTCTTGGCTGCCCGCACCATTTTAGGTGAGTTGCTTTACAAAAAGCAAAGCAAGAGGGAGCAACCAACCAACATTATCAAACGTACAAGCTATATCTATTTGTTTAACAGCCAACGAATAAAATATATGATTATAATATATTCATCTCTCAAAACAGATCCAAAAATTCATATTATATTCACCATCTCCTTTATTTTTTTCATTTGTTATTTTACAAGAAAAAACATCGACAGTGCAATGTAAATTCGAAGGAATAAAAAAGGATTTTAAATTTTCCAAAATATAATGAAAACATTAATTAAAAGTGATTATAAACACAATCAGTTCACATTGTCGAAGATTCGTGATTTTCTTCCCTCAAAATCTTACTACAAGAGGCTAGTTTTCCCACATTAAAAATTAAGCTGGAGGAAACTACTTTCAAGCAGGGGTGTAAATGTTGGTTTGTAGTGGTAGTTGCAAGCAGGGGTGTAACCAAGTCGAGTTAAGTTCCAGCCAACTTGAGCTTGAATAATTAATCAAGTTCGAATTCGAGTCGGCTCATGATCAGACTTATTTACAAATAAATAAATAAATAAATATATATATATATATA